CGAATGTGAAAAATCATTTTTAGGTGTAACTGGGGAAAAAGAAAATACTAAATAAAAAATTAAAAGGTCATAAATCTAATACTTTTATAGATAAGGAAATTGGGACCCATAGAGGGCCCCGGGTTACACAGTTTATATCTGACAGCCTAGATTTGAACATGACTTATTTATTATATTTTAAACATTTATTATGCACCTACTTTATGCCAGGCACTGTGCTAAGTGCTCAGGATATAAATAAAACCAAAGATAGGCCCTGCCCTCAAGAAGCTTATAATCTAATAGGAGAAGACAATGCAGAAAAGGGAGTGGGGCAGAGGAGAGGAGAAGGTACCCAGGAGGCAGGGGCTCCTGACTCCCAGGACCATGCTATTGCTGTATCTTACTGCCCCCCCCCCACATCCATCTTCATTCCATCTCCATTTTCCACATGATGGAAGCACCAGGTTTTTGCTTCCTTCCTCTACCACTTACTGACTGAGTGACCTTGACCTAAAGCTCCCTGGGTCCTCATTCCTTGTCTGTAAAGAGTGTGTGTGTGTGTGTGTGTGTGTGTGTGTGTGTGTGTGTGTGTGTGTGTGTGTGTGTGTGTGTGTGTGTGTAAAAGTAGCAGAGTTGAGGGAGAAGGTAGTTGTTGGAGAAGACCTCAGCTCTAAATCCATGATTCCTTGAGCCAAGGGCTGAATCTGGATTTCACAATGGATATAAATGGGACACTTCATGGCTTATTTTCTTATCACTGGCCGCCTGTCTATAGTTCCAGTTTGTATTCAAGGCAGTTATAAGTATATAATGATAGGGAAGACCGCTCTAGAGTTGGCCAATTAACTCGTGATTTCTCGTGTAGACAAATTACATGTCAACAATAGTTTAGCCTTTCTCAAGCCAAATTTTTTGGGGGGTACGGACAGAAGAGAAGGGCATGGCTGCTAATGAGGAACAAAATGAACCCATGTTGAAAAGTACCTCTTCGGTAGAAATCCAGGGCTTTGAAAAGTTTACAGTGAATTTGGAACAGAGATTTTTAATCTGAGATCAGTTTTATTTATTTGAATTTGATTTAAATGGGATTTATTTTGACAATTCCTTTAAAAAAACATGTTAAGTGAATGTCAGTATAATTGGTTTCCTTTGTAATCCTGTGTGTTTTATATGATGTATTAAAAACATGATTTTGAAAAGGGGGTTGTAGGCATCTTCACATTGTCAGAGGGGTCCATGACATAAAAGGTTAAAAATCTCAGGTTTAGAATGTAAGCTCTTGGTGGGCAGAGACTTTTGTATTTATATCCACAGCCCCGAGTACAATGTCTGATGCCTAACAGGAGCGTACTAAATGCTCATTTCATAACTGAGGTCATTAAGTCCAATGCCCAGAAGGAGCCCCGGATCACATTGTTTCAACAGTGGATCTGGAGCTTGGGACCTCAAAGGTCGTTCAGTTCAGCTCATTGCCTTTACAGACAAGAAAACTGAAGCTCTGGGAGCTGAACTTACTCAACGTCACATACATTATCAAAGTCAGGATTTGAACTGAGGTCCTCCACTTTTGACCATATTGTGTTAGTATCTAGATAAGAATCCCAAGTCTTCTGAATCTAAGAGTTTAATGATTTTTTTTTTCCATCTGACACTATTTTGGGTCAATATAATACAAAAAAAAGGTCGTTATTAAGCACCAACCAGGCACTGTTTAGTGATAAAAATGGAAGTCCATACAATCAAGAGATTGTCATTCTACTGGGGGAGGGAGATAAGCTTATCCTTGAAGAAGGAGCATGCTCTCAATATGAGGGAAGATGAGTAAGGCTTCCTGTAGGAAGCCTTATGTGAGCTGAGCCATGGTGGATGCTGGGTGGCCCAAACCCCTATTGGTGTAACCGATAAAAAATGGGGCCATACATGACTCTTGGAATTCAGGGATTCTTCAATGATGTATTCAGTTTCCTGAGTTATTTGGGGGTTGGGGGGAAACCCATCTTCCTAGATTTATGGAGCTCTTAAGAAATTATCTGGGTCAGTTCTCCAGTCTAGGCAAGTCTACACCTAGCTGCTCAAGAGTGGTCACTCTAAATAATGGGCTTCCCCAGTTTCACTGTGGTATCAATGGAGGATAAATTCGTTTGCTAGTTCTGAAAGGGCTCGTCAGCAGATTTCAACTTGATTCTTCCTGATTCCATATCCACCCCCGGTCTCTATCCACCGCACCACCAGCTGCCTCTGGTGGAAATCATAAATCACATTTATATAGTGCTTCTGGCCTCAGACACTTAGTGTATGACCCTGCGCCAGTCACTTAACCTCTATTTGCCTCTTGTTTCCTCCACTGTAAAATGATAACCGCCTCTACATTGATGCAAAGATGAAATGAGATAATATTTGGAAAAAGTGCCTAGCACATAGTAGGTGCTATATAAATGCTTATTCCCGTCCCCTACTTATTAAATGCCATGCTGGGCACTATATAAAGTCTTATTTTATTCCCTTTCATTTTCTGTTGTTTATTTTACATTACATTATGTTTTATTCCCCTGTTTTTAATAATAAGATCATTATTATCTTGTAGGGTTAGATCTGTCTTCTTGCCCCCCCCCCCCCCCCCCCCAAGTGCTTCAACATTGCCAAGTGGATTCCATTTTCCATTCTGGTCATCACTTGTTGTCTTGTCTTGCCAGCAGAACTATGCTTCATATTCATGGAAAAATTCATGGTATGTGGGAAGAGAGATCATTATTAAACTTATCTTCCTAAGTCATCTGAGCCACCAGTGACCCAGCGTGTGACCTGGCACTCTTCAATATAAAATACAATATTTTTAAGGTGCTTTAAAATACTTTTAAGAACTGAATATTAAGTGTGAATATTAAAGGCTGGTGAGCCCTGAAACATGGAAGGCTGGTGATAATGTTATTTTTTTTTACTTTTTCCTTTATTTATTTTTAACATTAATGTTTTTATAATTTGGAGTTCCAAATTCTTTCCCTTCCTCCCACCCATTGAGAAGGCAAGAAATATGATATCAATTGTACATGTGAAGTCATGCAAAAATGTATTTCCATATTAGCCATGGTAGTTATGTTAATGTCACATTTAAATGCTAGGTTCATTCATTGACCAACCCCTTGACAAAAGGTAATCCGTGGCATTTAAATGTATTAGCTCTTCTTAGACTCTTTTTGAAGCTGTGTCTGAAGGCAGTTCTTAATTTGATTTAAGGGATTACTATTTCCAAATAAGATCCGGTTTATATTTTGTTGTCTTTTTTCTTTGGAGACTTTTGTTGAAATTCACTAGAACTATGACTAAAGAATTCTGGTATGTAGAACAAATTCAGTGATTAAGGTGTCCAGGGCAAATTCAGGAATAATTACACAATTTGGGGAGAGTATGTGCCCTCCAGAGAGTGTAGCCTATACCCCTGCAATATAACTGGCAGCAGGACTACCCTCACCTCTCCAACTACCCAACCCACTGAAATAGTTTGGGAGGCAGCAGGTGAAGGAAGATGAACTCAGGAGGAGGAGACATGCATCCCCATCCCAGAGCCAAATGATGGAATCAGAGTGACTGAGAAGTCATGGTATAGGGCCAATGGAGAAATGTGAAGTGCAGGGATGGTTGGCAGAGAACCACGGGCAGAAGAGGAACCTTGTACCCCACCCCCAGGTTGACACCTAGTAGCAAAGACCTAATTGCCCCATCATAGTTAAAGATTTACAGTTCAATAAAATGTGGTTCAGGAACAGGTATCTAGTACTGGAAAGGTGATCTCAAAAATCATGCAATCCAGTGTCCTCATTTGTAGGCAAGGAAACTGAGGCTCAGAAAAGTTGTGTGTCTTTAGGTAATTCCAACACTTCTGTCCATTGTAATATGCTTCTTCTGTGGGACTGATCATCACCTTTTTGGGGTGCTCAGTCTTTCCCTTGAGACTTAACTTTTTCAGCATTCAAGGAGAGAAGCAGCCCATTTCAGTTCTAGAGCTCAGACGCACCTCTGACACCTGACACCTGTGTGACCTGAGGCAATTCATTTTGCGTCTCTCAGCCTCAATTTCCTCATCTGTAAAATGAGGAAGTTGACCTAGATGACCTCGGAGGTCCCTTCAGCTCAAGGGTCCTGAGACCCTAAGATCCATTTCTTATCTGAGATAAATGACTACGGAAATTTTTTTTGAGTGTTCTCTTATTTTCAGTTTCTAAAGAGTGCATTTGTATTACTCAATTATCCTAATTAACCTAACTTCATCACATTACTTCACCACTCTGTGTACAGAGTCTGTTATGGAAAACAAACTTCCTGGCCCTGATGGCCCTGGGAACTTGAATCTACAAGGATTCTTTCTTTCCTTCTCTCTTTCTCTCTTTCTTTCTTTCTTTCTTTCTTTCTTTCTTTCTTTCTTTCTTTCTTTCTTTCTTTCTTTCTTTCTTTCTTTCTTTCTTTCTTTCTTTCTTTCTTTCCTTCCTTCCTTCCTTCCTTCCTTCCTTCCTTCCTTCTCTCCACCCTTCTCTCTAGTTTGACTCATATCAGTGACTGTCAAAGTTCTCTAAAAGAGGGAAGGGCAAAGATCCAAGTTACCTGGGCACCTTGAAAAGCCCCAAACTGGATGGTGACCTCATTCTCATTCATGGCTTTCTTCTGTTGCCTGATTAGACAGTGAAACAGTGAATCATTCAGTGAACACACCTTGATGAAGGCAGGAGACAGGCTGTCCTGAAGCGAGCTCTTATGGTAGCTAGCAGCTTTCATGGTCTCTTTATTATTGACTATTTGGAACCCCCTGACTTTGATTTCATTAGATTATGTACATTTTTATGTGGTTTTGTAACTTTAAAGTGTGGAGGGAGGAAGGAAACCAAAAAAAGCAATTTTATTTTAAAAAATATTTTTATTTCATATTTATTATAAATTATTAATTTATTTTAAACGTATCTTATTTGTTTTATAGGATAGAATAAATATTTTTTTATTGGCAGTCAGCTTATTTTTCATTCTTTCAGGTGGAAAGGCATGACATGAACACCCTGAGCCTTCCTCTCAACATCCGGCGTGGGGGATCTGACACCAACCTCAACTTTGATGTCCCTGATGGCATCCTGGACTTTCACAAGGTCAAGCTCACGGCCGACAGCTTGAGACAGAAGATTCTCAAGGTGACTGAACAGATCAGGATCGAGCAGACGTCCCGCGATGGGAACGTGGCGGAATACCTCAAGCTTGTGAACAGTGCAGACAAGCAGCAGGCCGGACGCATCAAGCAGGTGTTTGAGAAGAAGAATCAGAAGTCGGCCCATTCCATCGCCCAACTCCAGAAGAAATTGGAGCAGTACCATCGGAAGCTCAGGGAGATTGAACAGAACGGCACCTCGCGCACCTCCAAGGACAACGCCAAGGACAACCTGAAAGATGGCCACAGTAAATCTCGGCCAGCAGGCCAAGGGATGGACGGTGGGAAGTCAGGTGTGCCGGGGGTCTCCCTGACGCCGCCCGTCTTTGTTTTCAACAAGTCCAGGGAGTTTGCCAATCTGATCCGGAACAAATTTGGAAGTGCAGACAACATTGCCCACCTAAAGAGCTCCTTGGAAGAGTTCAGGCCGGAGGCCAGCTCTCGAGCCTACGGGGGCAGCGCTACCATCGTGACCAAGCCGAAATACGGTAGTGACGACGAGTGCTCTAGCGGCACGTCGGGCTCTGCGGATAGTAATGGCAACCAGTCCTTTGGGACCGGCGGTACAAACACGCTGAGCAGCCAGGGGAAGCTGGCCGTGATCTTGGAGGAGCTGCGGGAGATTAAGGAAACCCAGACTCAGTTGGCAGAGGACATCGAATCTCTAAAGGGGCAGTTCAAAAGAGAGTACAGCTTCATTTCTCAGACGTTGCAAGAGGAACGGTACAGGTATTGTTTGCCACTCTCTGTTCTGTGCGGAAGTAGATGAATAAATTCACAGGGCGAGTGTGCGTGACCGCAGAGGGCCTGTCCTTGTTAGAGGATGTTCTAATGGGGATGGTTTCCATGGATATGTGGCAATGGTCCTTTTCTAGATGGCACACTTCTGAGAGCGTCCCTCAATTTGTGACAAAAACAATACAGAGATGTGTGTGTGTGTGTGTATCTGTACAAACATAATGCTATGTGTTTCTAAAATCTGCAAGGCATATGCATTCATTTTAAGTTCCTAGCCTAGCAGAACCCTGTTTTTCAATATGCTTAAAATATTTTAAATTTCGCTTTTAAAAATACATTTAAAAATATTTTTAAATTTTAATTTTTTACATTTAAAATTCATTAAATTTTAGTTGAATAATAAAATTAAAGTTTAAAATAGGTTTTAAAAATGTAAAAAGTCTTACATTAATTTATGCGTACACAATATTTCAGGGAAGGGGGAGCATGAGATTGTGTATCTCCAGTGGTACCACAGTAGAAAGAGCACTGACTTTGGATTTAGATGGCATGGGTTTGAATCCTCCTTCTGATACTGACTCCCTGTCTTACTTTGGGCAAGTTGTATTTGACTTGGTCTCCTGGCTCATGAAGAATCATCTTTTCCTCTGCTTCTCTCAGGCTCACTTTCTTCCTCTGTAAAATGAGGGGATTGGATCAGATAGCTTCTGCAGTCTCTTCTAACTCTTTTATTGTATCTGTGATCCTATCACCTTTCTTCTCTTCCCCAAAGTCACTACCAAATTTTTTATAATGTTCCCTCATTGATAAAATGGGGATAATAATGGTACCTGCCTCACCGGGTTGTTGTGAGGGTCAAATGAGGTAATATACAACTTTGCAAACCTTAAAGCTTTCTATGTAAATGCTAGCAAAATGTTTTTAAAATTAAATAATGTGAAAAAATTTAAATTTAAAAAAACCAAAGTAATTCAGGTTAACAGTTATTTTGTAGGCTCCTGTTGTGTGCCAGGCACTGAGATGTCCCTGAGGATTTTCCCTCTCCTCCCCCTGCCAGAAAAACCCCCTAACAACCAAACAAACAAAAATTTACATTGTGATGGGGAATAACAGTAAAAGTCTTGAGGGGATGGGGAAATGATTCCTTCAGAATGAGGAAACTCCCCCCACCAGTGCCCACTGGCAGATGTTCTCCAACAAAGTCTTTAAGAATTACCTGGGGACGGTGACAGATCAAATGACTTATTCAGAGTCAACCAGCACATATCAGGTGGGACTTGAATGCAGGTTTTCATGACTCCATGACTGGCTTTTCATCCATTTGTTGAGCCACCTTGATTCTCATGAATCTGACATGATATCAGTAGTAACAGTTTTGAGAGGCAGGTTGAACTCTGACTCTGACCCCTACTGGCCAAATGGTCACTTAACCTCTCGTTATCCCAGGCAGCTCTCTAAGACCATAAAGTATTGGTCAGTTGCTAGTCAGCATTGGTAGAGGGAATTTTCACACTGGGAGTTCGCTGCACTGGTTAAAACATAGATTCAGACAAAAATCAAAACTAACTACAATGAGTGGATGACTTCATATAGTATCTTAGAATTTTCAAAGCATTTTCCATATATTATAGAATATCTCATTATCTGTAATATATTATCTATAATTATTTCCATAGAGTACCTCATTTGAGCCTCACATCTACCTATAAATTAAATGCTACAAGTATTATTCATATTTTATGAATGAACTTTATGAGTAAACTCAGTTTATGAGTAAACTGAGGCTTAGTTTAAAGTAATAGCCATGGTCATGAAAATGACCTGAGTGTCTGAGGGGATGATGAAACCCAGGTCTGTCCCAACTCCCAAACAGAATGCTTTCCACCGTACTCTCTGTGATTAGCCTACAAGGTGAATCTTCTAACCCCCAAGAGTGGAGTTTAATTTTAGTTTAGAGAGCTATTTTTGTTTTTTTACTCCTGATAAAAACAAACTGCTCATCACATGTGTCTTTGTGCATGTGTACACACACACACACACACACCCCCCTGTAGGTTTGATTTGATTTTCCAGAGCATCAATCAATATGTTAATAATCATTAGACATTTATTAAGCCTCTACTATGTGCCAGGTACTCTGTTAAGCACTAGGGATACAAAAAAGAGACAAAAGGCAGTCCCTGCCCTCAAGGAGCTTACAATCTGAACATGAAAAAATATGATCTAAAGTGTAAAAAATATAATTGATGTTATGGGCGTCATGACATCATGGATGCCATTCTGGCTTTGGAATCAGGAAGATCTAGGTTCAGATTCTGCCTTCTAACATCTACTTACTGTGTGATGCCAGGCAAGTCATGTAATTCCTCATGCTCCTAGGCTACTCTCTTAAAACACAGTTGAATAAATGTACAGACTTTAGTATCCTGAAGAGAATACAGCATCATCTTAGACTACTGATCTGTGGTGAAGAAAGTTAGCACCCTGGTAATTCATTGAACCAATGAAGTCACAGATATTGTCCCTCCTCCCCTACCAAAAAAAATTTTGCACCAGAATTTGTGGGACCTTGAAACGTTTTCCATATATTGAGAAAAGCAATCTGTCTTTTGTAACAACCTGGATTTCTCCTTGGCCCGATCTCCAAACAGTTTATTTCAGGTTGGGTGGAAATACTATAAAATCTTGGAATGGGCTCCAGTGTCCTTGACACCAAAGCCCAGGTTAAACTCAGCAGTAATGGTCATGATAGCTATTATCTACTCCGATTATAAAACTATTTTATATCCTTTATCTTTTGTGAGGTTCTTAGTAATTCTTGTTGAAGGTTTATGGTGTGCATTTCGGAGTGGTTAGGAGTAGATTGAGGTGGTTACACTTGGGAATTAAACCCAAGTTGGCTTTATGGTATGTGAGATCCATGACAGTGAGACTCCTTTTAGCAAATGGCAAAGAAAAGGGCAGACATCCCGCCAAGATGGGTGCCAGCAGGATGTAGCCTTTTTATTATCCTGAAACACATCCCAAGGCATTCTTCTATTCACACCGGCCTTGGCAAAATGCATTAGCTGATGAAATCTGTTCCTGCCTTCATTATGGTCACTTGGCATTTGAGCAGAAAGAGCCCCTCCTGATAAGATTTTTAGTAGAGTGAGAGGAGTCTGGCAGAGACTGGAAATAAGGAGAAAGAAAAAGTAAGATCTGGTGTAAATTAAAATCTCTGAAGTTAGGACAAAGAGACATCAGAAGAGTCATCTCCTTACAGCCTGCAGAGTTTGGGTTCTGTATAATCCAACATGGTTCTCCCATCCAAAGGGAACAAGTCTTAACTAGAAACATGGTCCGGTGGTCAAGCAGACTTCTTTTTTGTAGCTGGATCTCCATCCTTCCCTCCTTTTCTGTTTTATCTTTCCATTTGTTAAAGGAAAAGGCTGTCTCTATCAGGAGAGAAGAATGGTTGAGTGGAGGATAAAAAGAGTAAGCTAAGCATCTCTCTAGGTGACTGGAGTGATTTCAGGTGGAATTTTTTTTCTTCTTTTTAAAAAAATTTTTTTCAGGTAGAATTTTTAAAAGGTCTCTACTGGTTTCATAATTGTACTATGTGAAGACATTTCCAAAAAAAGGTATACTTACACTTGATTTCACTTTTTTGAAAAGGTATGAGAGGCTAGAAGATCAGCTTCATGACTTAACAGATCTTCACCAGCATGAGACCACCAACCTGAAGCAAGAACTGGCCAGCATAGAAGAGAAGATGGCCTACCAGGCCTACGAAAGGTCTCGAGATGTTCAGGTACAACCCTTAATGATCTATTTTTTTTAATTAGTTTCATTGATTTCTTTATTTTATCAGCATGGTTGATTCTGGATATTTCATCTTCCCCGCCTAACATTGGAACCCTCCCTAGAAAATCAATGAACTGTATGTATGTCAGGGTATACAACATACTGTCTCCATAGCCCCCCACTTCTCTACTAAGAGATGTTTCACTCCAACTTTTGCTCCATTGGCTAGATACTTAGAAATTCTTCCTTGATTCAGATATAGACACAAGCTTTAACTTCCCTAAAGAAAGTGAAATATTTTCCTTTATGACCCTAAGGGGCATGATTATGGGAGCATAATTTTGAAACCCCTGCCTTCATTCAGTACATACTTCCTCCCTCCCTTATCAGACAGGAAGTAGAGATTCATTCTTTCTAGAGAGACAGCCATTCCACCCATCTGCTTTGATCAGGTAAACAAATGTCTATTGAACATCCACCATGTGTATAGGGCTCTGTTAGTGTAGCTGCAAATAGAAGGATCAATGACCTAGGAAGCATTTATTATGCACGTACTATATGCTAGCTACTTTTCTAGGCATTTAAGATACCTTCAAAGGGTTTACATTCATTCAGGGAAGACAAAATGTACACAAAAAAAAACTGGGGGAAGGAGTGATATAATCCCTTCCCTGAAGGATCCTATTCTCTAGTTGGAGAGAAGAGACTGGTGCACATTTAGAATCCTTATCAAACCATGCCAGACCTAATATCTCCCTGAGAGCAAGGATTATTTCATTTTAGAATTTTTTTCCTCTTTTTATCTCTAGTGCCCAATATAGCCTGGCATATAGTAGGCAATTAATAAATGCTTGGCCTCGTGTTTATTTGTCAGATTGTGGTATAGAAACAGATGTGCAATTCAGAAGAGTGTTTCCTCATAGTTCTTCAGAGTTCAGAAAAAGTAACATGAGTAAGGGATGGAGAAAGTTTCATGAAAAAGGCAGGACATGAGCTGGGCCTTAAAGGATGAATAAGATTTAGATTGGTAGAAGATACAGCAAGTCTTGATATAGATTGTTACTCTCTTTAGGCAAAGGACAGTGTCCTTTCTATCTTTGTAACCCTAGTGCCTAGCACCTAGTAGGCAATTAATAAATATTGAACTTGCTGGATTAGACTGAGTTAGATTAATCGACATAGAATAATCCCTTCCACCAGAATATAAGCTTTCTGAGGGCAGATACTGTTTTGTGTTTTTTTAAAAATACATTTGTTTCCACAGTATCTGGCTCATAGTAGGCAATTAATAAATACTTACTGGATTGGACCAAGTTGGATTAATTACAATATTTAGACTAATCATTCCATCAGAATGTAGGCTTTCTGAGGGCAAGTACTGTTTGTTTGTTATTATTTGTATCCCTAATGCCTGGCACATAGTAGGTAATTAATAAATACTTACTGGATTGGACTTAGTTGGATTAATTGCCATATTTAGACTAATCCATCCATCAGAATGTGAGCTCTCTTAGGACAGGTACTGGTTTTTGTTTTTGCATTTGGATCCCCAGTGCCTGGCATACAGTAGGTAATTAATAAATGTTTGCTGATTTAAGGATGATGTCTCCTAATAGGGGACAAGTTTGAATGCAGAGCTATGAGGTCTTTTCAAGGAGGAAGCTTACTTTTTATGATATTTTAACTTTTAGAGTATTTATATCTGGTGGTTCCATGAAAAATGTTCATAGTCTTATCTCCATTTTACAGATGGTAAGAGTCCCCAAAGGTGTGCCCTTGACTCTCTTTTCTCTCTCCCCTTAATCCCCTGGAAATCTCACCTACACCCACAGATTCTTCAATCATTTCTCTATAACTGGCAAATCTATCTGTCTTGTCCCATCCTCTTTCCTACATCCTAGAAACTCATCAAAACTGCCTCCTGGACCTCTCCATTGAACGCCACCAATGTCTGTTCCCTCTCGTGTAGAATAGCAGGGTAGGGCACTAGGCTTGAAGGCAAGGAGGCCTGAGTTCATATGTCACCTCTGACACATTAGCTGTGTGACCCTAGGCAAACCTGTGCCTCAGTTTCCTTATCTCTTAAATGAATAATATCTGCCCCTTCCTTCATATTCTCACTTCCCCTTCTCTTCATGCAGCCTCCCTGTTGACCTTACCTAGGAAAATGTCGCTGTCTCCGAACTGTTTCCTTTGCCTCAAGTCACTCTTGGACCACATGCCTTACATCCCCCACCCCCTTTCACAAACTTTCAATACTTTCCCATTATTATCGACAGAATAAAACCCAAGCTTCTTAGATTAACATCCAAGGTCCCCCATGGTCACAGTGGATATTTCACTCTTCCCCTCTCTGCCACACACACACACACACACTCACACACACACACCCCCACACACACATATACACACATCATAGACTGTTAGGTCCAGATGAAACCCTAGAGCTTATCTGGGCCAAACCAAACCAAATGCTTCCAGTTCTAAGGAGAACCTTCCCTTATCTGATAGAATCCAAATTTCCTGAGAGTCCAAACTATTTGATTTTGGTGTTTATACTTCTAGCACAGTACCTGGTATATAGTAGGGGCTTAATAAATGCTTGTTAACAATTGATTGTTTCCCCTACTTATGCAGTTGGCATTTGAGATTGTTTTCAAGAGTCAGACTGGCCTGGAAATACTGAGAGCTTTATGTTTTTTATTATGGGTGTGTTTTAGCTTTCACAAGTTAAGGCTTAAACCTTAAGACACAAAGGGGTGGGGGGATGGGGGCAAGGGTGGAGTTGGGACAAGAGAAGCATATAATAACTAAGGCAGCATCTGGCATCACCACACCAAGGTGGGGTAGGGTAGGGAAAGGATATACTTTGGGCGTGCCAGCTGGGCAGTGAGGGGTCTGTGCCACACATAGCTGCCTCTGCATACTAGGACAGCCCACACAAGTGGGCAGGCACCACGCTGGGGCTAAGGCAAGGCAAGTGGAAGCCATGGATTTTCCAGAAGGGCAGGGTTTTGCTCTGCCATGAGGCACCAGGGATTGGCCTCACATTAAAATCACAGGGTAAGAAAGTTTCCAGCATGGACATTTGGAACTCTAGAGGATTCTCCCAAAGGGCTAAAGTTAAGGCAGCCTGTCGCAAGAAAGCAGAGACCCCCCAAACTAGAGAGGGTTTTGTTTTGGACTACTTTAGCTTTATATTGGTCTAAAAAAGTCCACAACCCCAAAATAAAGGAAAAAAAAATACAGAGGTAGGTATTCACTGAAAAATAATTATACAGATTTATGAACCTAAAAATTCTGGCTTATAGTGAAGAGATGTTTTTTTTCCTTCTCTGACAAGCAAATATTTCATGAAAGAACAAAGTCTTTTAAGTGAGAGATCTTGGGTTCAAATCCCAAGTTCTGTTTATTACATGTGTGACACGGTCACTTAACTTCTCTGGGCCTCAGTTTCCTCATCTGTAAAATGAAAGGGTTGAATTAGATGGCGTCTGAGGGCCCTTCCAACTTGGGCTCTGTGGTTCTGTGATAATATGATAGGAATTCTCTCATGTTCCTGATGTTTCCACCCAGGGGTATGCTAGAGCAAACTCACACCTATCAAGTGTTAAATTTTCACTGTGAGCAACAACGTGGGAACCCACAGAAGGAGAATGTTTCTTGGGGCAGTGGTCTGAAGGGTGAATCTTTTGCCAGATTTTGCTTAGGTGTTTCAGAATTTAACTTTGAGCTGTTGAATGTGAGTTTAATTTTCTTAATAAAAAAAAAAGTCAGGAGGACCTGAGTTCAAATGTGGCCACAGACCAAACACTTAACACTTACCCTGGGCAAGTCACTTAACCCCAATTGCCTTAAAAAAAAAATGATTATAAGACACTTATGAAGGACTTAGGATAAAAAATGCTGTCCATCTCCAGAGAAAGAACTGATGGTGTCTGAATGCAGATTGAAGCATACTTTTTTTTACTTTATTTTTCTTGAGTTTTTTTTTTTTTTTTGGTCTATGTTTTCTTTCACAACATGACTGTTATAGAAGTGTTTTGCATGACTACACATGTATAACCTATATTGAATTGCTTGCCTTCTCAATGAGGGAGGAAGGGAGAGAATTTAGAACTCAAAGTTTTAAAAATGAATGTTAAAATTGTTTTTACATGCACCTGAGGGAAAATAAAATACTAAATATATTTTTACAAAGGATTGATTTAAAATTAAAAAAACACCTTGGAAATCAGCAAATACTGTAAATTGGAGTTTATTATTTTAGTAATTGTCTAGACTTGAGAAAATGTTAGTAATACAGATTAAACTAATAAAACAGATTCAAAATATGCCCTCTGTTTTCAGAAAACCAGTTATTAAACATTTACCAGCATCCCCCTGCTTTGTAGGCATAACCCATCTGGATGAAGTGTTACAAAACTGTGTTGCATCAGTTACACCTAGGCAGCTAGGTGTCATAACAGGTAGAGTGCTGGACCTGGAGGCAGGAAGACCTGAGTTCAAATCCCACCCCAGATATTTACTAGCTGTGTGACCCTGGGCAAGTCACTTAAAATCTGTTTGCCTCAGTTTCCTCATCTGTAAAATGGGGGTAATTGGCTACTTCCTAGGGTTGTTGTGAGGATAAAGTGAAACAATATTTGTAAAGCACTTTGCAAACTTTAAATCTCTATATAATTGCTAGCTATTATGACTCTCGCTATTATTGCTACTACTACTATTCCTGCTGCTATTATTGCTGCTACTACTCCTACTACTATTACTACTATTCTTACTATTCCTGCTACTCCTACTACTGCTGTTACTACCACTACTCTTGCTACTGTTACAATTCCTGCTACTATTACCCCTACCATTTCTGCTATTACTACTACTACTACTACTACTATTACTACTACTGCTACTATTACTACTACTACTACTATTACTACTATTCCTGCTACTACCCCTACTATTCTTACTA